CAACAAATTAGTGCGATAAATAATATGTGAAACAGCAGAAATAATGAATACCGTAAAGAGTTAGCCAAACAATACGAAACAATCGAGCCCGTGCGGAACGCCAAGCCAGCCAAGCCGGCCAAGCGCTACCGCTGCCTGCGCTCCGCACTCCGGCAGCACGCCTACTACACGTTGCGCCCTCTCGCGGCCACCGATCCGGTCATCGCTGAAAGAGCCCCCCCCCTCCGCCGGCGCTCGCTACACTGCCCAGTCTTCTAGTACACCATATCCAGGTTTTGAGTTGCGCCCACCCTCACTACAGCCTCCCTAAGCCTTTCATGCCGTGCCGTATGCATCGCGGTTTGAAGGATTTTAATTTGCTTATAACTACCAAAATAACACGAAGTTTGCCGCCACGATTTTTTCTCCGCGTTACTACGTTGCCTGAGGTCTATCTCAGCGCAAGTTTTTGACCAATCAAAAATTCACTGTAGTGCCCGTCTCTTTAAAACACCTCGGGATATGGGAACTTTAAAGACAAATTCTGGCAACAACTTTTACACTCAAAGAACAAGAAGTGTGAAATTACTTCATTGTGCAGACCACTAAGCCATAAAGGCTAAGTGATTTCCGGCAGCGGACTCACTGCTCCTTTTTGTTTTTTGTGGCATTTTTCACATGTGCTGTGCAAATAATCAATGCAATAACTGTACAATACAAGCAAGCTAATAGAAAAAATAGACTACCGAAATTTAGAAATCTACTGATTTTTGCCGATTTTTCAAGCTGAAATCTACTACTATTTTCTGGGGAGCTGTGGCAACACTGCTAACCACCAGGGGGCTACCGGACCAGATGGGTCAGCGAGTAAGCTCCCAACCTCCTTCCAATTTTCTTGGGATTTAGATTAGTTAGAAGTGCAAAACTTAACACACTTAATCATAAACTATTCCGCTACAATGTATTAAAATTTCAGAGCAAAATTCCGACTTTAAAGTAACCTTTCAAGTGTTGTTCTCCCGACCGCTTCCCCGGGGCATTTCCCATAGCAATACATAGGAAACTTGTAAATAAAAAAAACGAAAAAACTATTCGACTCTCGATAACCAAAACCTAACAGATTATAGATAGTATTAATCTCTACCTCTCATAAAAAATATCACGTAATTATCGCGATTATCGCGGGAAATTACATAATGTAGGGGAGGGAGAGACAACGAGGCCAGAGGCCTATGAGGGGCAAACGGGAAGGAAGGACGGAAGGCTCCCGTCACTGTTCAGTGCTCCTTTCCGAGGGCACGAGGGCACAAATAGTGAGACCGAAAGTGACGACATGGCAAAAAAGGGGCGATCAGAGGATGACCCCACAACAAAGACAAAAAAGAAAACGAAACTTAAGAAAAAATTCGGAAGCAAGCCGCAGGAGGCGAGCTTAGAAGATGAAACAAAATCAAAGACAGATCACGAACATAGTTAGGAGGTTCAGGAGAGCCAGGGGGAGGGCAAACAACTCCACAGCAAAACTAACAATCGTGAGACTGAGGAGAGCCAGAGGAAGGGCAAACCACACCCCGACGCGAACAACAATCGCGCACCTCTCAGCGAGACCCCAAGAGAGGCCTTACAGGGAACGACAGAGAACAAACACCTTGAGGACGACCCGAAAAAGCTCACAGTAGAACAACCACACAATAGAGAGACAAACCACTGCGCAACCCTAGACGAACTCAAAAGGGGGTTTGCGAAAACAGTTGCAACGATCGCACACCAAATTGACTCAGCACAGCTAAATGGACTGATGGTTGGCCAACAGAGAATGGCCAATCTTGTCGTCCAGCTCCTTGAGGAGACAGCGTACTTAAAAGGATGTCTCAGCGCAAACCAAGCACAGCCACAAGCAGACACAGTACCAAAGGCACACTCTGCGACCTACTTTGAGGTACTACGGACAAACCATAATGAATCACAGCCCAACCCAATCAGGACCCCAGCACAGGAGGCAGAGGAAGACACAGGGGCATTAGGAGAAACACAAGAACAGGCACTCCTCATCACAGCCAAGGGACCCCCCCGGGGGGACGAACACACGAAGATCTCGGCAATGCTGAGGAGGAAGTATAATCCAGCGGAATACAATCTGACAGATGTGAAACTAAAACCAATACGAGGCGGCACAATCATTCTCAGCACAAGCGAAAAGGGGATCTGCAAATTGGAACAAGAACTAAACACAACAAAAGACATCACAGAGACCTACGAGGTCAAAACACCATTCAGGAGATACCCACAATTCTCAGTCGGCCAGGTCAAGCCAGACCTGAGAGCAGAGGGGATGCGCAGAGCAATTCTCGAACAGAACAAAATTGAAGGAGGATGGGAGGATATATCCATCATTCGGACCCACAGCCAGAGAAATGGAAACAACGCGGTAATAGTCGAGGTCGCCCCCCGATTTACCAACAATTAAAGAAAATGGAAAAGATCACCATCGGATGGACAGTGTACCCCATCCGAGAAAACTTGCACATAACAAAATGCAACAAATGTGCAAGCTATGGACACCCCACAAGGACATGTGAAAACAAAGAGCGCTGCACAGAGTGTGCAGGGGATCACTCTGCAGCTCAATCTGGAGATCCCATCAGGCGCTGTGCAACATGCATGGACAGTAACAGCAAGTGGGGAACCACGTACAACGTCAACCACAGTTTCGACAGCCAGTGCTGCGAGCATCATAAGACGCAGATGAAGAGGCTGAAACAGAGAATACAATACACATAATCTGGGACAGAGCTACGGGGAGGGGGAAACGAGAGGAGAAAATATTAGCCAACTGGAACCTTAATAAACACGACGCTCAAGAGAACCTAATCATACTCGATACATCTCCTATAATGGTAAACTCTATTAGCATCATTCAAATTAACGCTAACCACTCATTTACAGCAGTAGAACATCTTAAAGTAAACAAACCACTTGAAGCACACATTACATGTATTCAGGAACCATATCACCTTAAAAATAAAATCGGCTTTTCACTTACAGATTCGATCATTGCTCACCCGTCCAAACCAAGAGTAGCCATAATTATTCATTCTAAAGCGTTCGACATATACACAGAATCTATCCAAAGAGACTACATAGCCATTCGCCCAACATCAGAAACAATCGACTTTATCTTAATAAATATCTACACTCCACCACAGGATACTCTAAAACATAAAGCAAAAACATAGCGTGGGTGGGAGATAAGACAGACGTAAAAGGGGAACTAATTGCCGACTTTATAATTGAAAACGACCTTCACTTGGTGAACAACCCAAATTCGTTAACCACATTTGAATCCACCAATGGAAGGAGCTGGATAGATCTAACCGTAGCCAACACGGAAATGGCCAAAAACATATCGGAATGGAATGTTCTAAATGAACCCTCAGGAAGTGATCACAACTATATAAAAATAAAAGCATTTGACAACTTTAAAACGAAAGTAAAACAACTCACCCAAAAGGGCCAGCAGAGAGTACTAGACAATCTAAAAAACGACCGATGGATCCGGGAGATGGAAAACGATGGGACACCACCACACGCAGACGTAAAAGATATAATTGACACATTATATGCAAAACTCAAATACCTATTAAAAAAACACTCAAGGAATGTGAAGACATCCACCAAACAAACACCTTGGTGGAGCTTGGAACTAGACATGGAAAGGAAAAGAGTTAGAGCCCTCCGAAGACGATCCCAAAGAGCCCCAACACAACTAAGGGACGAATATAAACTCCAATATGAAAGAGCGCATAAGACCTACAAAACAAACATCAAAATCGCAAAAAACAGAATCCTGGCAACAATTCTGTACTCAGGTAGCAAAAAATATATTTATTCTTCCCCATAAGATTGCTTTTAATAAGATAAAAACTCACGCAATAATCCCACCCATACTCAAAGAAGATGGAACATTCACAACATCAAGTGCAGATTCAATAGAATACATACTAAAAACCCATTTCAAAATTATAGAGCAAAATGAACTCTCCGACTTTGATCCTGGAGGAGCTTTCCAACCTCGCAACAATACGGAAGGACAAGCCATTTACAATGCACGAGCTTGAAAAAATTATACAACAAATACCAATAAGAATCACTCCAGGGCTGGACAACATCTCAGCAAGTCTTATCAAAAACATCTTCACCAACTTCCCCTTCTTATGACTAAATATATTCAATGGCTGTCTCAAAAGAGCATATTGTCCGGAGGAATGGAGAATCTCCAGGACCATCCTTATACCCAAAAAAAGACAAACAAACAAACAAGACTAATGCATGCATACAGACCCTTATGTATCAACTCAATATTCGGAAAGATTCTCGAGAAACTTCTCAACAACCGAATATACCACTTTTTACATGTCAACATCCTATTAAATCCTCTTCAATATGGATTTACTCATGGTACTTCGGCCACCAAAGCACTCTATGACCTAAAACAACAAATTATCAATGCAAAAGAGAGGAACGTGAAATCAATACTTATTTCCTTCGATATATCGAACACATTCAAGGCCGAATGGGTTCCATTTGTACTGGTAGAGTTCAAAGACAATACTTGCCTTCATACCTCCTCCGACTCCTTCAGAAAATACTATTAGAAAGATCAATCACATTCAACTTAAAGGCCACAGATATTAATTTAAAACCAACAACGGGAAGCCCTCAGGGATCTCCACTTAGCCCTCTAATATGGAACATAATGATCTCCACACTTCTTAATGCGACCTTCCGTAACAATGTCCATATTCAGGCGTTTGCTGACGATATTTCTATTTTGGTAAGCGGCACAACCAGACAAGAGCTAGAAAGGAGAGGAAATGAAACTCTTGAAATTATAGATACATGGAGCCGCGAATGAGAAAGGGGAAGATGTAGACCCAGCCCCAAACCCCTCCCCTATTCAGAAGCCGGCACTCTTGATCTACCCCACAAAACCGAAAACAAATTCGGAATACAGCCAGGTAATGGAGGCATTGCGAGCTGCCATTTTGCCGGAGGAACTAGGGCTCAGGGAGTTGGAGACTCGTAAAGTAAAGGGCGGGGCACTCGTTCCCAGCTCCTCTAGTGAGGGGATTGAGAGATTGGAGAGAGAAATAAACACCAAAAGGACACTAAAGGAAAAACTGCAAGCAAAAAAACCTTTCAGACGCAACCCGCAGATTCGGGTGAAGGGAATTTCCACCACTACCGATGACTTGGCACTCAAGGCAGCTGTCATAAATCAAAACCATCTAGACGGAACATCAGAAGACATTAAAGTAGTCCGGACTTTCCCCAACCGGGACGGGACTAAAACCGTAGTTTTTGATGTGGAACCAGACATCTTCAGACAACTCAAAACTAAGAGGCGACTTGTCGCGGGGTGGACGTCCTGTCCAATGGGGGACCTTCACGTTCTCTTCTACCGGCGGTGCTCCCGGTACGGACGCAGCATGACAAAATGTCAGGAACATCCTAGATGCATACATTGCGGCAAGGACCACGCAGGAGCAGACTGCGATGGGCGGAGCAGGCGAACGTGCCTCGCCTGCGAGGAAAACCCACAAGTCCGTCCAACCGACACGGAGCACAGCAGCAGCGACGCAGACTGTCCAACGTACATGTGGTACGTTGCCAGGCTGCATCAAGAAATAAACTATGGATAGAACCTTGAGGCCAGTCCACAGGGAAAACTAGCCCATTACCATAATGGCAAACACTCGAGACCATAGATCACATCATTCAACCCACACTTCTTCACCACAGCCATATCTTAACATCATTCAACACAATTGTAATCACTCATACACGGCCACTGATCACTTAAGAATAAACATACAATCAAAAGGTATCCAGATCTCAATACTACAAGAACCCTACTACCTAAATGATAAAATAATAGGTTTTTCACTGACAGACATAGCAATACATCACCACTCAAAACCACGTGCCGCAATCATAATGCACACAAAAACACGATATATTTCCTACACATATAACAAGAGATATTGTTGCGGTACATATAACAACACAAACAATAAATTGCTATATTATATCAGTGTACGCCCCACCACATGACGACATAGACACAACAATCGCAGATATCCGTCAACTCATTTCACATTATTACCCTACACCCGTAATAATAGGCGGAGATTTCAATGCTAAAATATAGTATGGGGAGGGGAAAGGACAGATTCAAGAGGAAGAGAACAGGCCCAATTTATTATCGCATCAGATCTTTATCCCCTTAACTCCCCCAACTCCCTCCCAACATTCCAATCTAGTAATGGGCACAGTTGGATAGACGTTACCATTATTTCACTTAACATAATCAGGGAAATAACTAACTGGACAATGTTAGATGAACCAACTGGAAATTACCACAGCTATATATACTTTCAGGCATACAATACACACACCACATCAACGAAAAAACTCACGCAAACAGGACAACTTAAACTCAGATACACTATCCAGAGACACGTGGTTATTAAATACGCAAACAACACTCACCACAAACAGAAACCAACTCGAACATATAATTAACACACTCTACAGAAAGATCAGAATACTTTCCAATAAATACTGTAAAGTGGTTCAAGATAGTAAACATCAAACACCATGGTGGACGCCAGAGCTGGACATCGAGAGGAAGAGAGTCGGAGCTCTCCGACGTAGATTCCAGCGAGCCCCACCACCCCTTAGGCCTACATTTAAAGAAATTTATCTCACAGCACACAAAGAACATAAGAAAAACATAAAAACAGCAAAAACAAAATCATGGAGATCATTTTGTGCACAAGTATTCAAGAACATATTTACACTTCCTTATAAAATCACACTAAATAAAAAAAAAAAAAACTATTCTAATTTGCCCCATCCTCAAACACGATGAAACATATATATCTTCCCTACACGAATCCGTGGAAACCACATTAAATGCCCAGTTTCCACGGGATCGACAGACAGACAGACTACACGCCAGAACAAGCACACATCAAACACCAAACGCAGACACCACCAAGCACCACCAACGACGTTCCATTTACACGCCAGGAACTGACACACATCATACAGCACATAAGAACACGTATAACACCAGGCACTGACAATATAACATCATCATTTGTGAAAAACATCTTTAAATTCCCATCCCTCATCCTTAACATTTATAATGCTTGCTTAATGTATTCATATTACCCCAAGCAATGGAAAGAGTCACGAGTAATATTAATCCCCAAACCTAACAAACCCCTTCACCTACCTTCCTCATATCGCCCCATTTGTGTTAATTCCATTCTAGGAAAAGTACTGGAGAAACTGGTATGCAATAGGCTATACCACTTTCTCCACACCAATCATCTACACCCAAAACAATTCGGTTTCACACACAAAGCCCTGGCAACGGCCGCTCTTGTGCAGATCAAAAACACTCTACTCACAGAAATTGAAGCCCAAAATAAGCCCATCATTATCTCAATAGACATTACAAACGTGTTTAATACACTCCAGACCCCTTTTGTCCTCGAGTATTTTAAACGACATAACATCCCCCGTAACCTATACCTTCTTCTTCAAACAATACTAACAGATTGTACTATCATTTACCCCACCCATTCAACCCCTGTTTCCCTTCATGCCCCACTGGGAAGCCCACAAGGCTCCCCACTTAGCCCCCTCCTTTGGAATGTTATGATTTCATCCCTCCTTGACCTCTCATATCCAGCTAACATCCATATACAAGCATTTGCTGATGACATCACTTGTAGTTATATCAGGTAAAACAAGGCTTCAAATAGAAACACTAACAAATAAAACACTCTACATGATTCACACATGGAGTATGCAGAACTGCATTACAATCAATCCATCTAAATGCAATTTCATACTTATAGGTAATCTATCTTAAAGGGCAACTCCGCTTGATTTCGGAAATTTTGAGATAGTGGGTGATATAAACGTGAAAAGTACTTCAAAACAACCCTAGACCGTTTGTTTCATTAAAAGCAAAATATTTTTCGTCCAATCTTGCTATTTACCACAATCGGAAACCGAAACTGAAACTTCGGCACAGCCGGGCAACATTGTACTCTCAACGTCAGTTGCATACGCACCCACGTGGAATACAAGGGGTCACGTGATCTACAAGCGGTAACCCAAGAAAGACGCGGATGCGAGGGGAAGGGCGAGGAGGGAGGAGGGAGGGCGGGCCTAGCCGCGGCGGCGAACAGGCAACGCAAGCAGCAATGAAGCAGGCTATGTAGGCGGAAACCCAGGCGGCTAGTCGGTTGGCACCGGTTGGCAGGTGTGTCAGCGAAACTCATCCCGTACAACTCTCTCTTCCTCTTTTTGTTTCTCTTGTTCTCATTCTTTTTTTTTTTTTTTTGTGTGTCTCGCCCACTGATCTCTATTGTAGTAGGCTCGCCTCTTTGCTTGCTCAAACATGGAGCGCGTCCGTAGCGCCGCCCGGTAAGCTCTCCCTGGAAAAGAAAATACCAAGAAAAAAACTGCGTATGCAACAGACGTCAGCCACAACGGAAATACAACGTTGGCTGCGCCGCACGTCGCCCGCTAAATTAGCGGATTTTGGTGACTTCGCGCGTCTCACTTTTTGTCGGCCGGTTTAGTGATCGTTTAGGCGGTATTACGTTATAATATTTGACATTCGGTCTCTCTAGATGACACTAAAGAGAGTTGCAGTGTTTGGTAACAACCGAGAATGAAGCGGAGTTTCCCTTTAAACGACCTCCAACCATAAAACTAGGGAATCATAATATACAACATACACACGAATTAAAAATCCTAGGCATCATTTTTCACCACAAACTATCATTCCACATACCACATACCTTCGTGATAAGATATACAAATGTACAATAGCATTATCATCGTTCTCAGGTATACACTGGGGATTCAGCCCAAGGCATTTTTGGGACCTATACACCCGTAGCCTTGAAAGAATCATCACCTACGCGCCCCAGTTTTCTTTAATACAACGCCCAATTCACATCTCTTGCGTAAACTCATATCCATCCAACGTATTCCACTCCTCAAAATATGCAAAGCTTTCACAACTGTAAGTAACGCGAGCATCAACATACTTAGGAATATACCCCCTTATAGAATACACCCTTAACCGGGAAATTGCTTTTTTTATATATTCCAACTCGAACAGCCATACACACTCTATGAAACTATATACGACCGTAGTCAAGTGCAGCATCATATAGATATATGGGACACGCATCCTGCACAACTCCTTTCATTTCCATTTACATCAAGCCCAACCCCAATACACCGAATGTTAAATAGAACCACACATAGCATATAAACAGACGGCTCACTACTTCATGAAACAGTAGGCGCAGCCTACGTTATTCTTGATACTCAACAACAAATTATAACACACAGAAGATACAAACTTCCACCATTTACAACCATCTACGAGGCGGAATTACAAGCCATCAAACAAGCCCTTCTATGTGCAGTGACGTTTCCTCGAGAAAATAGTTGCACTCTTTTCTCGGACAGTCATTCTGCACTCCAGTCGATAGCAAACCCACACAACACCCACCCCACAGTACATGAAATCAAGGAACTCCTTCAAACACTAAACACAACTCACTCCTCATTTGACCTCTCCTTCTTTCTTTTTTTTTTTTTGGGGGGGGGGGGGGGGGGGGGGGTAATGTTGGTATTTTTGAGGCCACTCATGTTACCTTCTTGGGGGGGGGGGGGGGGGAGAACCCCCCACCCCCCTCTCTCACGCATACTCCCATGCCTCACTGCATGTCATTAGAACCATCCCTCATCTCATGTGTTGGGTAATTCTCTCTCCCCCCCCCCCATATGTTTTTTTTAACCTTTTAGTAGCCTTTTTGGCGTTTTCTGTTTTTACCATCACCCGGAGTCGGTATTGCGTCTTTTGCATACCGTTCCTTTTTAGATTTTGGATGCCTGGCTTATGTGCCGGCATTCACTGGGTTCCAGATTATTTATTTATATATTTGAAAGTTCTATGTGTTACTTTTAGATGCAGTCAAGGCCAATAACAAGAGGACCCCTCCAACAAGTTTTCGTTGTATAGTTCTTTGTTGTTTTCTTTAAGTTCTGGCAGGAATACATACTTAACGGTCCTTGCCGGATTCAAGGGTAGGGAATGCCGATCACGTTGCAGCTTGCTGCACTGCCCTTGTCATCCGGCAAGCCTACTCCCTCCCAAAAAGACGTACACTGGGGTCCTCTTTTTTACTACCGCCTTCGGCGGCAATCTCTAGTATACTAGCCAAATGCCTCGTCATCTAATTAGTGATGCGCATGAATGGATTAACGAGATTCCCGATGGCTGAGAACGCCTCCCTTAGAGAAGAACTAACAAACAATGAAAAAAGAACAAACGAGCCAAGCTATGCGGCCATTCTCAAAAACACAACCACAACAAACAAACCGATTGAGTCACTCTCCACCAACCAAACTGAGCAACGCAAAAACACAGAAAACGAACCTAAAGACGGCCTCCTAATATTCAGCACAGAAAGCTCAGACACACAACCATTCCAAACAGTCAAGACAATGTTGAGGAGATTCACTCCACACGAACTAGGACTGACCAACCCCGAGGTGAAACCTATTCGGGGAGGAGCTATAGTACTAAGCTCCAAAAGATACGGTCATGTAGCTCTCCAAGCAAACATAGAACGAGACCCGGAAACTAAACACAAGTTTGAGGCGAAAATCTCCATCAAAAAGAACCCACAGATCTCCATCCTAGGGGTGGACCGAGAAATCACGAACCAGGAACTCAAATCTGAGATTATCATCCAAAACAACCTTGATGGACAACCCGACGACATCAGGGTCGTCATCTCATTCGATAAACAGCACACAAAAACTCACATCGTAGAGGTAACTCCAAATATATGCAAACAACTTAAAGAAAAAGCGACTCCTCATAGGGTGGACTTCGTGCCCAGTCAGAGAAAACACATACACGCCGAGGTGCACAAAGTGTTGCAGATATGGACACAATGAGAAGAACTGGACGAACCAGGTGCTCGGAATGCAGCGGACCACACCACTACAAACAATGCCAAGGAGAAATTGACGAATCCGGACAACCCCGCCCAAACGGATGCCCTGCCTGCAATGACAGAAACCAATTCGAAAACACAAACTTACATACCAATCATTCCTTCTATGATTGGACATGTCCTACGCTAAACGCTGAAATCGAAAAGGCATGCCGGAAAATTAACTATGATTAGAGAAATACGGAAACAAAGGGGAGTACGGAAACTACCCGAAAATTCGCAGCAAAAACAGAAACTGAATACAAAGATTCATTAAGTATAATCCAAATGAACTTAAATACTCATACACAGCGACCGAACACCTAAAAATAAACCAACTAATACTAAAAAATCAGATCACATGTATCCAAGAACCATACTAAGCAAAAAATAAAATAATTGGACTTAGCAATAGGGACACAATTGTCCAAGGACAAATCAAACCAAGAACAGCCATAATCATCCACAATGACAAACTATTTGACTTGCACATAGAAAAAAACAGAAAGAGATAACTGCGATAGTAATAACCACAAAAAAGAGGAACTCCTATTGATAAATGTATATGCCCCACCCAACGATGATATAAAAGAAACTATCAAGGAGGTTAAAGAAATAACAGAAAAATTTTAACACCTACCGACACTTATAGTAGGAGATTTCAATGCAAAAAACCCAGTCTGGGGGGTAAAAAATTAGACGAATGTGAGAAATACTACACGACTTCATATTAGAAAGCGATCTATACCTTATTAACGATCCAGAATCACCACCCTCATTCACATCATCAAACGGTAAAAGCTGGATAGACATTACTTTAGCAATAAACAATATAATTGGCAAAATAAAAACCTGGGAAGCTCTAGACGAAATTTCCGCTAGCGACCACAACTCCATTAGAATCGATCTCTCAAACAAAATAGAAAACAAATGCACAAAACTGACAAAAAAAGGAGAGCTAAAACTCATAGAGGAAATCATAGACGTCGACTGGATAAGGCTTACTAAAACAAAAAAATACACTCAAAAGTAAAACTCTAACACATAATCAACACAATAATAAAAAAAAACTTGAAGACCTTTATAAAAAATATGTAAAAAGAGTTGTTGAGACCACCAAACAAAATCCTTGGTGGAGTCCAGAACTTGAAATAGAACGGAAAAAAACAAGAGCATTAAGGCGCAGATACCAAAAATGTCAAGATATGATGCGAGGTGAACACAAGTCAATATACCTAGAGGCTTAAAAAATTATAAGAATAATGTAAAAAAGCAAAAATCGAATCATGGCAGTCATTTTGTACAGAAACAACAAAAACAAACATATTCAACATCTCTTACAAAATAGCACTGAACAAGATGAAAAAAAACATCACAATACCAGCAATCAGGAAAGCTGATGGAAACAATTCAACATCACTTGAAGATTCAATAAAAACTATACTAACGGCGCACTTCCCAGCGGACAACCCGAATGAGTATAACAAAGAACAAAGGAAAATTCAGGACGAAATAGGACACCCCCTGGAGACCGAAGGCGACACACCGTTTGTAATTAGTGAAATAGAAAACGTCATAAAAAAATATCCCAAACCGGGTAACACCCGGCCCGGACAACCATTGCTACAATAATAATAAAATCACTTTTCAACAAACATAACAACTATTCCTTAACGTCCTCAATGGGTGCCTAGCATACGAGTACTATCCAACACAGTGGAAACAAAAAAAAAACAATCCTAATCCCCAAAAACACAGGTAACCCCCACGAAACAAGCGCATACCGACCTATTTGCATAAACTCAATATTCGGCAAAATTTTAGAAAAACTATTAAATAATCGAATATACTACTACCTCCATAGCAAAAACCTATTACACGCTAAACAATACGGATTTACAAACGGTAAATCAGCAACTAAGGCACTACTAAAAATAAAAGAATCTCTTATAGAAAACATAGCTGCAAATCAAAAATCAATACTAATATTAGTAGACATATCGAACGCTTTTAATACAGTATGGATACCCTTCGTGCTGCAAAAACTAAAGGAATATGAACTCCCAAAAAATCTCTACTTACTATTACAAACAATTTTAAATCAAAGAACTATAAACTAGTTGCTACAGAAATCACAATAAACTCCCCAATAGGAAGCCCATAGGGCTCACCATTAAGCCCTCTTATTTGGAACATCTTCATTGCTACTCTACTAGATCTTAAATGTGAAGAAGGAACATACCCCCAGGCATTTGCAGATGACATAACAATCATAGGAAAATGAAGCAAGGAAATCTAATCTACTTTTGCCTCAAAAGTAGATTGGAAATAGAACAGAGAGCAAACCAAACATTAGCAATCATAGACAAATGGAGCAAGGAAAAAAAAGTTAACTTCAATAAAACAAAATCTCAATACGTCACAATTGGAAAGGATTATAAAAAAAGGCCACCAACAGTAAAATTCGGAGATAAGAATCTCAAACATATGGAAGAACTCAAGATATTGGGTGTCATATTTGAACGAAATCTATCATTTATTCAACACGCGAATTACCTAAAATCTAAAATATACCAAAACACCACTAAATTGGCAACATTTGCAGGAATAAAATGAGGAATTAAACCTAGACAATTCAGAGATATCTACATTAAATCAATTGAGAGAACAATAGTTTACGCAGCAGCAGTGTACTGGAAATCCACCAATAACTCCCACCTACTTAGAAAAATGATTTCGGTACAGAGAATACCGCTTATAAAAATTCTCAAAGCTTACAGGACTCTTAGTAATAAAAGTCTTAATATCCTTGCAAATATAAAACCAATCGAGCTGACACTTAATAAGGAAGTAGCAACATTCAATATTTTTCAGAATAATTGGCGGGAAACAATATAAACAAAAAAAATAAAACAACATTTCATCGAGGTATGGAGGACTCACCCTGCAAAGTTGGAGGGCTTCCCATTCCGAAACAACAACCAAACCGCCATCCCAACGGAACGTAAGATATACACCGACGGATCAGTAGCAAAAACATCAGTGGGGGCCAGTTACATAATAATGGACCAATCGGAGTCAATCATAGCTATGAAAAAATAAAACTACCAGTATACGCAAATATATATGAAGCTGAATTGATCGCCATACTAGAAGCATTAAAGGAGATACTAATATATGATAATAACACCACTTTAGCAATATACTCAGTCTATCTTCACTAAAAGCAATAGGAACCAATAGTACATAAGATAAAAGAAACAACGAAAGAATCCTTCAAAAACAAACTCTATTTGCACCATATAAAAGGACACTCGAATATCGACGGGAACGACATAGCAGACAAATTAGCTAATGAAGCACGAAAGACAGGCATACCAATAGAATTAAAGATGAAAACAACATAAAAAACGAGATAGAGAAAAGCATGAGGGACATTTGGGAAGAAGAATGGACACAGAGTGACACAGACAAAAACACACAGCTGGATAAAGTCAATTCACAACATCCCAGAATACTTTCCAACTTACTACCAAACTCAACTCATAACAAACCATGGGAAATTCCCCTACTACATTAAAAAAATAAGAAAAACAGAACACAGCGATTGTGAGTGTGGGGCGGAGGCAGAGGAATTTCAACATTACACTGGAAACTGTCCGATCACTAAAACACTTAGCGATACCTTCTTAGAAAAAAAATCCATCAGGCTTAACGAATAACTCCAAAATAACAATAGTACAAAGCGAAAATGAACTAAAAATACTAGAGAACATAGAATTAATAAGTGGTAACAAAAAGAAAGTATGTCGAAAAAAAACAAAAAAAAAAAAACCCTTGAAACCAAGACAGGACGCCAGCACGATCAATTGAAGGCAGCAAACAGTCCACAAGAACAAGCAACCAAAAAGGACAAAAAGAATGGGGCCCGGCCACTAAAGTGACGTGCAAACACACAGGGACGAATTCAGGGGGGAGAAACCGGGACCTCCCCCTACAAAAAATAAATAAATAAAAAAGTGACAGGTGACAACAAAAGAACAGGACACAGCGGAGGAGGGCTGACGAGCGTTGCCCAGTCCTCAGTGAGTCTCTGATTCCTTCCCGGGGAGTCCGGGCCGCCTGCCCGCCCCCCGGCCTCAGGGTAGGGTCACGAACTGTCCAGAAACAGGATAGCGGTGTCACGGCGGCCCACATCAACCCCATGGTATGGTCGCGGACTGTCCGGGAACAGGATATCGATATCGGTGTCACGGCGAACCTCATAAAAAAAAAAAAGGGTTTCTACAAAGCAGCGTTCCCCCCCCCCCCCCCCCTCAAAAATAAAAGGGATTAATTACTACACAGGAAGGAGGCCACAAGACAAAAACACATAAAAAAGAAGATAAATATACATGTGCATATATGGAAAAAAAAGAACAAGGCGAACAGGCTCTAATAACAACCTCTCCCCCAATCCCACACTCACAAAAACAAAACAAAGAAACATACAGACACAAACACAAAAAAATGTATATATATATATATATATATATATATATATATATATATATATATATATATATAGCAAAGCAGTTAAATTACGATTCAGGAGTATCTGAAGATGGACGAAGAGCATCATGCAAATCTCACATGGTCAAAAAAAGAAAAAAGGAGGAGAAAAAAATAAAGGAAAGGGGAGGGGGGTATAAGGAAGAAGGGGAGCGTCTTCCAAACTTCCGATGTTCTACTACATAACCACGTCGAATATCCATCCACTTACGCAAGATGCGAGGTGGAATACATAGAGATATATTAGAAATATGTGGTGCAATACATAGAGATATACTAGAAATATACTTAGAATAATCAAATAACCAAAAGTCCTCCCTGAAGAGAGAGGATGGGGGGGTACTGAATCCCGCACTTGAGTTTTCTTTTTCAGAGAATGATACAACGAACAAAAGAGGAAATGGGAAAAGAGAAGAAAAGGAAAAAACAACCAACGAATACCTCAGGAGAAAGGCCAACAGGCACCAGTAACCCACACAGAAAAAAAGAAGAAAGAAAACCCAAGACTATTGTAAGTCAAGAAAAGAAGGTGAAGAACGGAAGAAATTATTTAGATTTAAATAAAAGCCGCTGGTTGGACCGGGCCCGGTCCCCTGGGGTGGTTTCGACAAATGATACTTTCAATTTTTTTTTTTTTTTTAGCACAAATAGGCTTTTACTAAAATTATTGTTTGGGTGATACCCCTATTTATTTTATTCTCAATTGGGTTAAGTCTGCAATGCTAACGCTGGAGCAGACTGAGGCACATTATTTTTCCTTCTTTTCTCTTGCCTCACAACATATTTGTCCCTATCTATATATATACAAGAAGAGGACTGGGACCGACGTGAACATCAATCGGTGAGCTCAGGGCCGGATTAAGGTACTGGCTAAGGGGGCTGCAGCCCTGGGCCCCAGGCTGTCAGGGGGCCTCATGCTGGCCCAAACAAGAAGCGCTGCCACTTCAGTGACAGTGTCATCTCAAAATCCACCATACAGACTCCAGAGCACCCCGTAGGTCTCACTGTGATCTTCTCTCACACCAATCCTGAACAATCCTTGATGAAATTGAACATGAACAAAGTCTCCGATGCCTTCAAACTCCACTGCCCGGAGTGCATCCTAATGGTACGTCCAAACAAAAGGCTTAATCTCATCGCAGTAGACACACGAAACTCGCTCGCTACCAAAGCACTGCTGCAACTTACTAAGCTTTGTGGAATGGACGTTAGGGCGCACGAACCAGGACCTCGATCTGCTGCAGTAGGCGTCATACGGGGCGTAGAAAAAGGCGTCGCTGATTCAGACATGCAGAAGTATATATTTTCAGATATACCCATCTTCCATATTAGGCGACTGGGAGACTCTACATCTGTCAAAATAACGTTTGACTCACCCATTCTGCCAAGATATGTGCTCTTATCTCGAGTCCGATATCAGGTGTGGCAATTCGAGGAGCGTCCTTAGCAATGCAAAAATTGCAGCCGCTATGGTCACAAAGGCGTAACTTGCGAAAAAAAAGAAACCTGTTCCAGATGCGGGGAGGGGCACAGCAGAGCAATATGTCATGCTGATCATCCGAAATGCATCAATTGTGGAAGACATGACGCACTTACACCCACTTGTCCGGTGCGAATTGAACACCAGAGAAAAACTGAGCTTCGCAAAAAGCACTTTGGGACTGTCACAGCTCTTGCAAGTGACACCATTACGCAAAGGCAACAAGAGCAGCCTATGCCAGAAACACGCTCTGGAAACATGCAAAAAAATCAAGGGGGTACAGAAACACAGCGTTCATCAAATTCTGCGCCCAAGAAATTTTTTAGAGATATCTTAACTGGCAACTCTCCATCTAAACCCTCTCCAAAAAACTATGTGCAGAGCAGTACACCCACCAAATTGATGGAAGTTCACCATGCGCAGTCAAGGGAAAAGCCGGCAACTCAAAGAATCACACTCCCTGATGGTGATAATCTTGCCTGTCTCTATCCCCAAGCATCTGCCCGACAGAAGAAAGGTATCAGAAAACAGACTCCCTACTTAACACAGCCTTAACTATGGTTCTTGATTTTGTCAGAGGCTTTCTTAGACGAAGCAACTACCTACACCTGGGCTCCGATAGTACTCAGTCCGATTGATTTGATTTCGCCAAATCTTCTGGATTGGCTCAATTAAGTGAACCATTTCATGATATCCTCGATGAAACAACTGTGTTCCAATGGAATTCAAATGGTATTCGCTCAAAAATGTTGGACTTAAAACAACTTGTGCATAAACACTCTTTCCCCCTGCTAGCGATATCAGAAGCTTGAATAGATGATATTTCAAAACTTTGACTCTCAGGATATTTGTTTATTACATTAAAAAAGACAAACGGGGTAAGTTGGGCGCTAATAGGTATCCGAGCTAACCTTGTCTCCACCGAGTATGAGGTCTCCCCACATGAAACAAACGAATATGTGTGCTTGATTGTAAGAAACAAATCAAAAGCATTTACACTCATTTCCGCATATATTCAGCCTCAAGTACCATTTGATGTTGGCCGTCTTGAAGCCCTATTAGAGGCGACTCCCTCCCCTCACATATTGTGTGGTGATTTTAACGCTCACCATGAACTTTGGGGGTGCAGGTATAGTGACAAGCGAGGCTCTGCACTAATCGGTATCAGTGAAGGATTTTAATCTATGCCTCTTAAACGACGGCAGTGCAACTTTTCACAGGGCAGAGATCAGCAGCGCACTAGACCTAACTTTCGTATCAGCGGAGCAATACCATAATGTTCGCTGGACTACTGACCTTGAAGGTAGAGGAAGTGACCATATGCTGCTTCTAATATTTTATAATGGATTTATTCAGCGCAAAAAGACTGATACTTTGGCTGCCACAAACTGGGAAACTTTGCTGAACTTGTAAACGAGTCTATTACCGCTACCACGTTGGATGAAGAACTTTGACCTATATTAAAAGAATGCTTAAAAAAATCTACATTCCAAACAACAATGCCCTTTGACAGAAATGATATAGATTCAGAGTATGAGACACTACGAGCTTTCAGGCGAAGAGCAGAAAGAAAAGCAAAGAGAACAAAGACTCTTGAACATCGTCGAGCTGAAAGGACAAAAGAAGGCGAGACGCCATTTAGATTCCCCTTGCACGGAAATCATGGCGAGAACGATGTGCATCATTAGACGCCAAAAACAGCCTTGTGAAAATGTGGCGAATAGTTTGTGGAATTAGACGTCAGACACACCACCAACGCTATCCTTTCAGAGCTATTGCTCCAAGACAGTGGTTCTCAACCACTCGCGGACCCCTTGTGGATCGGCAGAGAAGATGGAGGACCCCGTTCATGGTGAGGGGAAAGGAAAGGTGTAGGTTCATTATGATAATAATTTAACAAGTGAACATAACTAAGGGATGGTGTGAAGTAGACTTCTCTCATTGACATACACACGAGAAAACTCACCCGAAAATTGGAATGTTTCTTCTCCATCGGAAAAAAGGACAGCTTTTATTGCCGGGCTTGACTGATGAGGCAAGGCTTCGCGGGCCCTAAAGGGTCCGCAGACCCCCATTTGAGAACCACTGCTCTATGAGTACACTGCACTGAGCTCGAAATCGCCGAGTCCTATTGCAAACTAATATCAAACAGCGCAGCTATAGACAATAATAAACCACACAAAACTCCCGTGCAAGTTGACTCCAGACTCGATCAGCCATTCACACTGAGTGAACTTGACAGCGTGCTACAAAATACCAAGAAAAAGTCTTCGCCTGGTCCTGATGGAGTGATGTGTGCTGCCCTTTCTCGACTGAAGAACGCTTCATGGCATAAATTACTTCAAGTATTCAACACATCCTTTGCAAATAGCTCAGTCCCCACTGAATGGAAAAGAGTCAAGATTATGCCTATTTCGAAATCGGGGCAATCTCAATTACATTTGAGACCATATAGACCAATTGCTCTCACAAGTTGTATAGGAAAAGTTATGGAAAAAATATACTTACAAGGCTCAACTGGTACCTAGAAACTAATAACATATACCCTGAAGTGATGTCTGGTTTTAGACCTGGGCGGTCAGCAACAGATAATGTAATAGACCTAGTTACTTGTGTAGAACATGGCATATCACAAATGCAAACCACAATAGCAATCTTTCTCGACATTAGCAAAGCGTTCGATTGCATTCAACACGCTGCCATATTAACGGCTTTATCTGAACACGGAATCGGCGGCCAAATATACGGATGGATCCAAGATTACCTTTCCGAAAGAACCATATTCATGAATACAATGGAACGTTGCACCTCCTATCAGACTGTTAGTATGGGTGTCCCACAGGGTGGCGTCCTCAGTCCGACACTATTCAATTTAAGTCTGACATCACTCGTGCAACATCTACCCTAAGGAGTGAATATGGAAACATCCATATGCAAACATCATCTATGCAGATGATGTTTGCATATGGACGACTAACCGAAATCGATTTATCTCTCAAAGGAAGCTTCAACAGGCTCTTCGAATAATCAGTAATTTCCTCCATTCACGCGGGCTCAGCTTCTCACCTGAAAAAACAGTAGCAATGGCCTTCACATGCATGTTAATGAAAAGATTTCTTTTAGTCCTTGCAGGAAAATTGGTCTCTTATGCTTCCCAACACACATTTTTGGGATTCACTCTTGGCAGAAACCTGACATGGACACCCCACATCAAGCGATTGAGGAAAAAGATAGACTCCGTGCGTCATATTCTTTGCTGTTTGACCGGTAGATCCTGGGGTAAAT